CCTTCGTTTTTGAACTAATAGATTCCAAAGTCATGAAATACTCCTCATTACAAAATCTAATAGCAATCTGAATTTCTTAGTTCTATACTGTATCTAGGAGCACACCTTCTCAGCGAAGCCTCAATAATCTAAAGTAATTTTTAGTCTATGACTGAAAATCCATGGAATGTTCGATAATGTAAAGGAATAAAAAAATCTAGTAGGTACTACAAGGGTATGCCTGTAAGATTAACCTCTTTTAGCAAAAGCATGTTGAAAAAACAGTACAATTCCCATGCTGTAACAAAAGCAATGATATTACAGCCCTCTCAGCAAAATATGACTAAGGAAAGAGAATAATGTAGATTCTCAAGAAATTTCGTCCATTAACGTGTCGTTTATCGTGCTCTAATGAGGTCTGGTCCTTGAACGAAACTACCTACAGTACCTTTACAAGGAATTTTTGCTCAGTTTATGTTTTCGAATTTTGTATTTTTTTCCGTTTTCTTACTGTTTTCGCGCATTTTCAACGTTGCTATTTGTGTTGTCTTGTTAATATTAGTCGTTTATCTGCTATGAAACAACATGGAGATAATTGACTGTAAATTAGGGAAGTTCTAGTATTGACATTTTTAGAAGAGCTTAATGAGAACTATACTATCTCACGGACATTGAAACTTTCAACTGCTTGTTTAGCTTTTCAAAATGTTTTCATTTTCGATTTTGAAGGTAATCAACATGACTGAGTCAGAGAATGTCGCTCCTGCAGTCAATGGCGATAGCGTTGAAGACAAGGTTGTGAGGCAGCTCGAGGTTGTGATTGTTACGTTGATTCATCTCTTCCTCATGCTTGAATACTACTTTTTCAGTATTACTTCGGCAACATTAACCTCCCAAGAGATAAATTCTTGCAGGATAACATGAAACAAGATGAAGGGTGTAAGTTCATATACTTTTTATCTTCCCCATGTTGGCAAATGCGGTCTCTTTTAGGGGTACCTATCAAGACGCTGCTCACATTTAATAGGCTTGCTGCAATAACAAAAGATGCTGATGTGATTGCGAAAGCAGTCAAGGTTGGTTCCTTACTCAAATAGTTTTATTTTGAATGTAGAAGTGTTGCCGTTAAACGACCTTCTTCACAAATTGTTTTCGTTGTAATTTTATGTTTAGTCAAAGTTTTACAAGTTTCATTTAAGGATGCCCACTCCGAAATCATAAGTATTTCGGAAGATGGCCAGAAAATCCGTCGTAACATAGGAAATCCTTTACCTGAAAATTCCTTGGAGTACTGGCAGAAAATCAAACATTGTACTGTGTATATGGTGAGCTTTTTTCGTTCTTTTATATGTTATCTATTTGATCGCGTTGGAAGTTTAAAATTCTCTCGTATTGATTGTGAATGGCATGCATTATAGAAAGGATTCGAGCAGAATACCAGTCTTGACGATATCATGACTTTTGCTAAAAAGTTTGGACAAGTTGAGAATGTACTAATGCGACGTACTAAGCCCGACCGTATCTTCAAGGTAAATTAGTTGCGCAAGATTCTAAATTGATTGTTGATGTATTCTCATTCATCATTTCAGGGATCAGTATTCATCACTTACAAAACTAGGGAAGAGGCTGAGAAGGCACAAAAAGACGATGCGAAGTTTGGAGAAATTGAATTAAAAAAGATGATGCAGGATGATTATTGGGCAATGAAGAATCAAGAGAGCAAGGTCCGTTTTTCGTTTTTTACTGTCCTATAGCAACAATTGCGTATTCTTTCATTTTGAGTTTGTACAATGCAATTGTATTTTTAGGAAAAACGTCAAGCAGAAAAGTTGGCAAAATCAGCCAAGAATGCTGCAGAGCATGCGGAGAAACTGCAAGCCAAGGTATGCTTTTCTGCGCACAGTCTAGTCCGAGAGTATACTTCCAATTCATATTTAGGCTTGTGCAAAATTCGTTAAAGGATTAATTCTATCTGTTGACGGGCTCCCCGAGGACTCCACAGTTGCGGCTATTAAGGAATTTTTTAAGAAATTTGGTGATGTTGGATATGTTGTCTACGAGGCTGGACAAAGCAAAGCAGAGATTCGGTCAGCATAACAGATTGAACCAATTTTCTTTCCATTTTTATCCAAATTATCACAGATTTTCTGGTGCTGAAAATGGAGCACAAGAAGCATGGACTAAAGCTGTCGCATCTGGTACAGATGGAAAAGTGCTTTTCCAGGAAAAAGAGCTTACCGCGAAGGTAAGTTGGAAGGATGAGAATTATGCTTAGCATTCTGCGTTTCTTCAGTCTCACAATCTTCGTTTATTATACTTTCGTATGTGCATTGTGAATTAACGGTTTCATCGTCGAAGTGATTTCAAAGAATTTCTTAACGAGGAGCTCGTGGGATTCATGGCTCAAAACTGCTCTCTGTACCTTGCTGCAGAGGTAGTGCTCATATCGTTTGAACTTTAGGTGTTGCAAGGAGAAGAGGAGGAAAATTACTGGACAGCTTTTAATGCAAGCAAGCAGAACAAATTTGACAGGATGAGTGCCCGTCGGGGGCGTGGTAGGGGGCGGTAGGTATTTTAGTTTTTTTTCGTGATGGTATTCATCTCACCCTGTGGTGTTTCAGTGGTGGATACGGGGGTCGCGATCGAGGACAGAAACGACCAGCTGAGAAGGATGATGCTCCTAAAGGCAAGAAAATAGTGTTTGAAGATGATGATGGTAAACCTGAGGCAGCCGAAACGAGTGCAGCTGAGGGAAATGGTAGTGCTTCTGAGAAGGCCAAGTCTGATAAGCTGAACGCTCCAGAGAGTAAAATTGATCCAGCAAAGCCTGTGGAAGGCAAGAATGAGTGAATTCAGGCGCATCTGTACTTGTTTTTTTCACGTGTACCATATATTCGAGTTTATTCATATTTTGTTAATAATTGTAAAATGATCTTCATTAACTTAATTCATTGATTCTGTTTATCTTTAGTATAGAACGACAGTAAATTTTGTTGAAAGTCTTTTCGCTTCATATTTCAACCGCATCTGTTGCTCTCTTGCATATGTTTGTTCAAATTCAAAATGTTTATACGTGACGTTATCCTGTTGTTAGCGCAGTGGTGTTGTGCGAATTTTGATTGTTTGCAATTGTTGATTTTGCGAATGAAATTTAAAGATATTTTGCCATGAGGTGTTTTCTAAAACTTACTGGGTTTATAAAATAGTGAAAAGAAGAGTGAAATGAGTTGCCTTGTGTTTTAGTTGAGCAAATTTTATTATGCTAAAAGAGGTAGTAGTTGTCAATAACGTCATTTTGTAACCTTTGAGAAAAACCAAAGCTAGCATTTTTCGAATATTAAAAACTTTTCACTTCATATATACATTGAAAATTTCTCCTTGTTAGGACCTATCGCTTGTTTTTTCTCTCAGATGGGATAATTTAATCGTCCAACTTGTCAGTGCTCACAGTACGGGGAAGCTCAATCAGTTGGAAAATCGTTTAGCAATGTACAGCGTTTAAACCAAGTTTTTGTCCTGTCCTCAACAAAATAACTCTAAAAACCAAAGCGCTCTTTT